GTCTTTTAACCTTCTTGTTTTTAATGATACTTTACTGAACATGCAAACCCCAACGACGATGACATTTGAAAAGGACCTCCATGCAAGCACAGTCCAGCAGATCTTTCTGGAAATGTCAGTAATGTGACAGTTGAAGGAAATAATACAAAGTGTTGGGAAGGATGCCACCACCAAATCAATACTACACCAACCCATGTACCAGCATATAAAGTGCAACACAGTGCATGCCAAAGCAACAAAAATGCAACTTATACACATGACTGAAAAAACATTAAAAAAAAAGTATAGAAAAAAAACAGAAAATAAAGCTAGATTACTCTGAAAAGTTGATCTACTTTTGCACCGACTTACGACTACAGTGCAAGCCTGGAAATTCAAATCACATCACCGGTTAATGTTATTGTTATAGTGTTCTGAGCTTACATGTACATTAAATAATGCACTAGGCTTTCTGTGCAACTCTGCAATAAAATACAAAATTCTGATGTTTGAAAGGCAATGACTCCTTTGTTGGTTCTGCTTTGTTTTGTATCATTTCAAGGAACTGACTCTTTCTAGTCGTCAATACAAGTTCCTCAGGTTGATTCCTGGTCATTCCTGGTAAGTCTGAAGATGACCCACCTCCAAAGTTCAGGTACCCGTAGTCACCAACTCTACTCACATGTGGTACAAGCTGGGTATTGAACCATGGTTTACAATGGTGAGAGGCAAATGCTTTACCAACTGTAGCCACCTGCGGGATTCATTCCTCGAAGACCAACTCGTTAGAGGATACATGCTACCGTACACGTACCCAAGTATTCCCTGTGTTGCCAGAGCAAGTTTCCAAGTTGATTGTGGCTATGTTACACTAACAGTTACGCACAACATTGTTTGTGTCAAGTGTAGCTTTGACATCAGGCAAAAATCAACAAAAAGGGAAACGTTCAGCTTTGGTCCAGGTCACACCAAAAAAAGTTTTAAACTTGTCGACAACTGAACGCTCAGCAACTGGCTGAAGGGTCCCTCAGGTAGAGTGAACTGCATGTACATGTCTGACAATTCAGTTGAAATTCCTCAGAGAAAGAAACAAAATTTGGCACATCATTTTCCAAGGACTGACTGAAGCCTGTTGCTCTGTGTGACATGGCTTGATAAGAAATAGATTTATGTATGCTTAAATACAATATGAATAGAAAGAAGTAAGGGAAATTGTCAAGTGATGTACATGTGCACATCCATAATGGTATAGTATATGCATGCTGACTGCCTTTAGAATATTTCCACAAATTTTTAGATACAATCAAAATGGACACATCTGGCAAAAGCAAAGTAATGACAACGGGTCTGCCAATAAATGTATGCTCGCATACAGAAACAATTACACACAATACAAAAATCATGCAAAAATCTCCTAGTTTGTTCGACTCGACTTTTATCCAAGCAGAGCTCTAAAAAAAATGCATTGAAATGGTAAATCAAAATAAAATAATCAAAATAAAATAAACCAATAAAAAGTTGGATAATGGATGCAGACTAATCTGAATAGTGGAATTAGAAGCCATAAATGTGGTAGGAATATGCTGGTGAGCAAGGGGTGCATTCCATCACACGCCTCTTACACCAACAGGGCATCATGATTTGCCAAAATGTACGTGTGATTGTAGCGCCACCGCAGCGACGCCAACTGTTCAGACTAGTCTATACATGTACCAGTACACAGAACAATGACAATAAAGGGCGCTTCACAATAGCGCGCCTCCAAGAGTTCGCAATGTGATGACCAATCACAATGTTCAAAATCTATCGACCCAATGCACATTTGGAAAAGGTCGACAGATTTTGCACATTGTGATTGGCCAATGTGGTGTAAACTCTTGGAGGTGTGCTATTGTGAATCGCCTGTATTAAGTGTACAGAACCAAGGACAAAAATACACTATTTGCACAAAAGAGCACATATGTAACTACCAGTATTGTGCAATGCATCAGAAGAGGTGGCAGCAGTGGGATACATTGACCAACACTGATTTTATTTACAACTTACAGACATTGGCCCGAGGGCCCTCCTGAACGGTCAATGGATTTTTGCTGATGCTTGGGATGGCTGTAACTCAAAACCACAAAATAATGAACTTAGGTCAATTTGACAAATTCAAAATTTACTGTTTTTTTTTTTACTGAAATGGCATTCTCCAGATTTGGCACTGGTTCAACGCGTTAAATGTGTCTCTAAATAATGCACTTGTACATACCCATGTACTTGTACTATACAACCTAGAGTGCTGTACAGTCATTCATGTACAAGTGTCCATGAACAGCTCATCAATGGGACGAACAGTATAAATTTCTTTTCTACCTGCATGTATCTGCGATGTTGAGGAAAACATGTAGACTGCACGTGCACTAGACTAAGATAGCGCCCTCATACAAATCAGTGAGATATCACTGCACTCCTCTGCATTCTGGCATCGAGACTTTTTAAACTGCCGCTCATTTTCAGGTTAAAAAAAAATCAAATCCCTGAACATTTATTTTTTTTTCCCCTGCTTTGTCAATATGAAAAATGGCCTTTTTTTAATATGCCTGTACTAAATGTAATATTTTTGCCACGAGGAAGATATCAATGTTTCTGAGTTCACCTGCACACCGAATGCACAAGCACTGTGAAGGACAGAGACAGTACATCGTCACTGTCGGACTGTGGCACTGTCCATTTGGACAACTGAGGATTGCCACTTGCAAAAGGGAACATAGCAAGGTCAAAGACTACACTGCTAAATTCTGGCATGGATGCTTTTTAACTGGACAACTGAGGACCAAGCAATCAGTAAAAACTTAGTCAATGAATTAGCAATGCCAAATCAATTATGCAACCAAAATTTGCATGGTAGACAATTTTTTCATGTGTACAAATTACAATAGCATCTTTTTTACATTTTCCTCACGAAAGTAAAAGCTGTAACTACATGCATGTGTAGTCAAAAGAGAAAAGAAGAAAAAAGTACAAGCACTCTATGTGGGAAGTTGCTTCAAGCAGCTTGACCATATTTCAAGAATTCAGAAGTACATGTACATGTACCAACAGGTACATTTCAGTTATAACCCATGCAACCCCCCCTTCAGAATGTACATGCACACACGTATATCGCATTTCCACTTGTCACTGCATTTAGTGAGGCCAACATGTTTATCGCTCTTGGGATATATAGCAGACGCCTTCAACTGAGCATTTGCCATAACAACCCACTTTTGGGAGATGAGACAATTGGATTTAATAGTGACAGAATTTGCTACATGTAACTCATGGTATGTGTAAAATGTACAATAAACAATCAGGTATATTTTAGGTAATGCAAGTACGGATCTTCTGGCTAATATATCTATTCAAAACTAGAAGTAACATGCATGTGAATGCAAAGGTACGTTATGATGCTGTTTGAAAAATTATGCCAGTCATGGAAGTCAAACTGTTCCACAAATCTCCTTTGTAAGTAGAAGGAAATGTGCTTCAGTCTTTCTTTTCGCAGGGCCTGGAGAAACAAGTACAATACTTTTTGAAGACAACTCTCTATGTAAGTTCATATTTTGTGGTTTTGTGATACAGTGTAGATGTACTTTAACCACCTGGTGCCGGGATTTACGGTACCAGGCTCTGTGGCTTTGTATCCATAGCTGGGCTGCCCGAAATCACACAAAGTTAAAATTCCACAGAAAGTTACCGTTGGAGGTGTGACAGTTTCCGACCGTGTTTTGCCAACCAAAAGCGATGGACCACGCTTGACTCAACTAAACGATCACACTACAATCGTACAGCATGCTCAAATGGGAGTTTCCTCCTTTACAAGATACAATATCGAATTAGATTTTGAGTGAATTTTGTTTTGGTAATTTTTCATGAAACAAATCCAACTGCTAAATCATGGCTTTCGATGTATTAGAATAACCTTGGTATCAAGTCAGCATTCCTTCCCAGGACGGCGCCCACGAGGCCAAAGGGGTGATTTTCCATCAGTCTTTTTCGAACGAATAATGCCATTTTGTTATTTGAGATTTGCGTAGCACTTACAGAGAGATATGGCAAAACTCCATTACAACGTATTCACACTACTTCATGTACTTTGATCAAACACGATCAATGAAAGGTAAGTTGGGCCACCACACGAACCAAATCATGTGCACAAGTGCCGAGAGCTGGTGCAGCACAATTCGTTATCAATATTTTGTTGTTTTTGCTTTTTATCACATTTTCTTGCATGCATTCCGTGCGCTGTCAATGCCATGCCATATCAAAGCCAAACATCCAAACCAACCAGTTCGATTCGGAAGTGCCATGTTCGACAATTTTTGTTTGGTTCGGCGGTTTGGCTGCAGCACTAAGTCAAAGCATGGAAAAGTAAAATGCATCAGCACCAAGGTCTCGACAGGAATATTAAAATAAATAAACTGGTAGGAATATACGCATAAACAGATCCTTGTCTGTCCATGTGTACATGTACATGTATGGACATGTAGACTGTACATGTGTGTATTTATCCACTGATGGCGACCGTCTTTGATGGGTTTCAAGAGGCTTGTGGACACTACTAAAAATCTCAGCATCAGACTGGTTGAAACCACACACAAGGTATACCTTAACCCCCCAAACCCCTCTTTAACCAAAATGGGATGGCTTTACTTTGGTGCCTGACCCCACACCCCTAAAAACCCTTTTGTCTAGCCCCCTCCCCCCGATGCAATAGGGTTTTTTAATCCGAGAGTGAAAGATCAGTGGTTAGCAGGAGTAAAAAACGTGATGTCCCGTGCAAAGGGTCCGGTCCAGTCCCCTCCCCCTAAAAAAAATTGGGCTCTAGAACCGCGCCTGCTTAAACCTAATCCTGGCCATAAGGTTGGACAGTTGAAAATCTTGATCAATTATGGAACTTGAATCCTGACTAAGAATGCAAATGGGTCACTCGTTTCAGAATTCTTGAGAGAGTTCAGCTTTGAAGCCAGGTTCAACAAGGGTGAAAACATCCATTTCATAAGTATAAATTTGTCCATGAAACCATTCACAACCTACATGTACCTGCACTGATAGTTGGGGGAGGGAATCTGTTGAGACATATTTTTTACCAATCTCACACACA